TAAACTAGTTAAATTACAAAAAAAAACTTACCATTACAAAAAAACTAAATTAAAATCAAACCCAAATCCAATCACAATCAAAATCAAAACAAAAACAAAAACAAAAAAATAATATTTTATAATTCTCTTATCATTAGATGATATTAATCATCTTTATATCCCTCAACCAATCAGAATCTTATCTGCATTAACCAATCATAATCATAAAATTTTCACGTGATTTACCTTCACTTTAGACGTCCTCCATTAATGTGATATTGTAAAAAAAATTATTTATAGCATGTATCTGTTAGCAATATGAAAAGTGGTAAATAATGCTCATATTACGTAGGTAATACCCAACTTACTCTAGAAGATGCCAAGTAAATTACACTCAACCAAAATGGTAAATATCTTTCAACCACATAAAAATTCTGATATAATAATGGCATGGAAATGTCATCAAGGTCATATTTGGAATAGCCCATTTCATAACATTAAATATTCTGAGGCATGGTGTCCATTTTGTGCAGGTAATATAAAGTTAACTCTTGAGGATGCAAAGCAAATCACATTATCCAGGCATGATGAATGTCTTTCAACTGAGTATAAAAATAATAATGATCCTCTCATTTGGAAATGTCAATTCAATCATCAATAGCAAAATAATCTTAACCATGTTAAACATAGAGAGCAATGGTATCTATTTTGTATTGGTCGAAATCAGTTAATAAAGGATATGTGTAAACTTGTGTAAATAAAAAATGGAGATTGCCTTTCAGATTGATATTATGATTCACAAACAAAATTGGAATGGATTTGTGAAAATAATTATAGATGAGAGGCTGTTCCCAATAGTATTCAACAAGAAAGTTAGTGTCCATATTACGCAGGTAATATGAAATTAATTCTTGAGGATGTGAAGCGAATTGCATTATCTAGACATGGAGAATGTCTTTCAGAGAAGTATGTTAATAGTCAATCGCCATTATTATGGTATTGTAAAGAAGGCCATTTATGACAGACATCTCTTGATAATGTAAAAAGTAGTATCTGGTGTCCATTTTGCTATAAATATAAATGTGAAGAATTATGTCAAGAAATTTTAACAAAGTATCTTAATCTACCATCTGAAAATTGCAGATCAGATTTCTTGAAAATGCCTGTGTATCCAATAGGTTTAGAACTCGATATTCCTTACTACCATTATGGTTTTGCAATTAAAGTACAAGGAGAATAGCATGAAAAATATATTAAATTCTTTCATAGCAGAGATCTCAATAAATTTATCAAACAACAAGAGTAGAATCGACTAAAGAAAGAATTATGCAAAGAAAACTGAATCATTTTAAGATATGTTTGATATTATGAAGACCCATATATAGTTATTCTAGAGCATCTTTGAGAATTGGGTCTCATTAAATAAACTCGAAACTTTAAATACTAATTATTAGATATCACAGTATAGAAAAATCACTTTTTAATCAACTGAAAAAGCTTTTATTGTTTTTATTAGGGGAGCGTTATTTATCATATAATTTTCAGCTATTATAGGAGTATCCCACCCACCCTCCATATGATAGTACTATATAATCACGTGATTATTTAATATAATATTTAATCATAATTAGATCGCGTTATGTTCTTGATTAATTAAACTTTATATGTAAAAAATGATCATGCAAAGCTTTTTATCAGCACCCAAGTTTAATAAAGTTTTTTTTTATAAAGAACACCAAGATCTATACCAAGAATTTTGCAATACATATGCATATTATAAACAAATAGTTCTTTGTAACCCCAACCTCAACCATCAAAAACTTATGCAAGAATGTGTAATGACTTGGAAACAAGTTAAGCACCAAGACAAATCATTAATTTATGACAAAATACATGAATATTTTGACACAGTCCCCTCCCATACTCACTCTCACCAATCTTTCTTTATCCAATATAATATAGCTAACTCTAATTCTAGTCGCTCTTTCCTTTCCCTCTTTGCATTAAGAAATATATCTTTCCCAAGACAAGTTGATACTGCAATATTGCTGAAAAATGCTGTAGACTAATGTAATGCAGCTGAAAAAATCAAAAAGGCTACTAAAGATTTGTTAAAATATGAGCGAATATATGTACTTACAACAAATGAATCACTCAAAGAAACTTTGGCATCAAACATTACCATTGAAAGAAAGCTGATCAAGAATCAGGAAATACAGCTTGAAAAACTGAAATACCATGCTAGTGCATAAGCAAAACTTGTAGCCAAAAAAGCAAAATTGCTTGAAGAAGAAAAAATAATAGAGAAGTATGATAGACCTAAAAGACCATTAACGGCAATGTTCTATTCAGACTTCTGGGATAAAATTCATAGTTGCATTGAATTTGGAGCTGCTCATGCCAAAAGAAGAAAGGTCACTATCAAAGTACAGATAATAAAGCATTTACGCAAAGAATTTGAAGAAAAATATAATATCTACCTATCTCATCAGTATTTATTAACATATCTCGAATCTTGTTATTCACATACTTTTGCTGCATGTCACTATCATCACCCAGTCAAGATTGGTCTTGCCTCAGTAGCAAGAACAGATATGAAATCTCATATTGATGAATATTATTGTCTAGTCTCTGTTAAAGCTACTAGAACTTTTGCCGAAGTCTTTGCAGATGAAGCAGTTATTATTTCTCAGGATGACAAGACAAAAGTTAGTTTGGGTATTCTAGCAGTTGGTCATACCTTTAAAACTATGCAAATAATTAGTAAGCCTATTTCTATTGAAGATCATGACTTTCTAACTGGCAGTAAAATGAAACTTATACCTTCAGTTTACCTTGTTATCAATCTAGCTAATTCAAATGATACTCTACGATCAGACCAGCTTGTAATTTTCATTAAGTCAGAGTATTTCATTGGTATGATATTATCAATTCATATGTCAGACCTTCAAAATATTGTTGCAAATCAACATTTTACCATGGCTTTGACAAGAAATAACAAGGTTAGACTGATCTGGGTTCTTCTTGTTGATGGAGAACCTGATAAAAATCCAAGACATATGAAGAATATAATCGAATATTGCAATCTATTTTGCAGTCTCAACCTCGACTATTTAATTATTCGTACCTATGCTCTAGAACAAAGTACATATAATTCTGTTAAATGTAGTATGATTTCTCTATTTGCCAAGCTTATTGGTATTACTTTGCCTATTGATAAGTTTGAATCACATCTTGATAGCCAAGGAAAAGTAATAGATATCAATTTAGTAAGACAAAATTTTAAGTTTTCAGGAAAAAGCCTATGTAATATATGGAAAAGAGATGATATATATGGCAAATCTGTCATAGTAAACTATATTGACCAAGAAAATTAACCCTTTGCTGAGACAGAGTCTTTGATATCATGGGAGTGGCTCGAGAATTATACATAAATCTGTCATTACTCACTAGATATAAAAAAATGTAAGAATCATCAATATTGCAGTGAATATATAGCTTCAGATGTAACTCTTCTTTTGGATCAAAATAATAGATTCCTCCCACCTATCATAAAAGGCAAAGATGAACACTTTATGAACCCAATACATGCCTTTCAGTACTATGATAAACTCAAAATCTTACCATATGACTGTTATTATCTATTGATTTCATGAAAATTGCACTAACGACTATGTTGTAATATATGTAATAAGTACTTTTTCTCTCTCAAATTTATAGCTGATCACAAATGAAACAAATATTCTTTGAAACGTGAATACCTACCCAAACAAAAAACACAGATTTATAATACTGCTGAAAATATTCTACAAGATATTCCAACAATAGTTGTAGAATGATATGAGATACAGTCAGATATCAAATAAAATAAAGTAGATTGTAGGAAAAAAAAAGAGAAATAAAGATTTACTAATGTCACATGACTTTGATTGACCAATTACATATTATTTTGTGCCACATAATTTCATCTGTATAACGCATTATTATTAATAATCACATGCCATTATATAGGACCTGATATTTGCTTGACCCACCCATCCAGGGTCGAAATCAGGTGATAAATGGCGCTCCCCTTATATGATTGTTTATTATAAACTGCAAAGAGAAATATATCAATAAAATTATTGTATTCATAATTTATGTAAGATCAATATTTTCGAATCAGTCCAAGATGCCCACATATTATAACCATTTTTAATATCAATAAAGATTAATCTAATTGGAGAAGAGTGTTTGCGTATAAAAGTTGCAAAGGTCTTTGTTCAGCTCTTGTATCATCAAAGGATGCTGTAACATCACGAACTAATAGCTAAATTTATAAATACAAAAGATTAGTGGAAGTTTAATATCATAACAGAAATCCACATTAATACATACCAACCATTTCAATACACTTTCATAGAAATAAATAAAATTTTTCATTTTAGAAAATTTCCAAGGAAGATTGGCATTATTAATCTCATTTAATCTATACGTTCCTGAATTAATATTTAGTAACAAAGCATCAGTACATTCTTACAATGTAATTTTTCAATAGAAAGAAAACATATCACAATGATCAAGAGAATATAAATATATCCAAAGATGAAAACTTTGGTCACTGAATACATATAACTTCTTTGATAAACATTGCCTACTTTTGATGGTTTCCTTTACAATATTCGCGAATATATTCTTTAAATTATCTGTTATTTTTTTGACATCATCGATTTTCTTTTTATCTTTTGTTACTGGTCTCGAGCCTTCAACATAAATGAGCTGATACTTATCAGCATCCATCATGTAACCAACTCCATCAACTCGATTACTATTAGTGTGATTTTTCGACGTTATCTTGCCGAATTCATAGTGTATACCAGCAATGTACCATAAAGAAATGTCAAGACACGGGTGAATAAAAGCATTAAGATGCACATGTTCTATTGTGGCAATATTTAAAAGTGGGTTCTGTTCTTCGAGTGAAAATGTCTTAATACTACACAAAAGAAAGAAATATTCAGAACAGAATCTGAAAAAATAAATCAATATAATGATAATGCCTATATACAATTATGGCAATATATGACGTAAAACTCGTACCACTGCATTCATTATAAAATCATCTTTTTCTGGTACTTTTAAATCATTGATTTGGGAATTCTACTCCTCAGTTGTTAAGTTTTGTGAAAAAAATTTTACAAGGAATTCATGAATATTTGTGGGGATCAACATCTCTGTCATGGTATCCATTTCCGTTAGATATGATATTGCTATTTATCTTGAAAGTTCTTTTAAAAAGAGCGATTTTAGTCAGAGATCAATTAGATCATCATCAAGGTATTGCGCTTTATAAATTGTAAAAATCTCTTTTGATGCATCTGAGAGTTCAGTATTTCCTAAGATGTCTGTTATCTGGTAGAAAAAAATCAGTGTTAAATATCTGTTGGTTTAAAGTGCATTATTAGATAACTATTTACAATATTATCTTGAATAATTCTCTTCTCATCATTCCCTTGAAAGTGATTTTCAAAAGAATTCTCGGTCATTGCTTCCTCTTCATTTTCTTGAGAGGGGTTTTCATCTGTGTATGTAGTTTTTTCGGAGAAAGTTCTGACATCCATATCTGTAAGTAATTCATGATAATTCGGTACAATTAATCTTCCACTTCTCATTCTTTTTTCAGATTTAGTTTTGCACTTGTTTATGAGGTGGAAAGAAAAAATATCAATTTGTTATTTATGTCATAAATGATTGTTGATGTTCGCTATCCACTGTAAAGAAATTAATACATTAATAGAGTCACTTAATCTCACCTTTTTTATCAGAATTGTAGCTCCTTCAGTACCCATCTTTTTTTCATCATAATCCACATCTCAACGATGTTTTCCCTGATGATTATCGTTGTATGTTGCTCCATCTTCGGTTAAAAGTTGGTTTATCTGTTTTACCTTCATAAGATTGACTTTGATTCGTGCACAATCTTTTTTGTAGTTTTTTAGTGGTACAGTCCAGTTCTTGACAAACAAAGAATAATAATGAATTGTTCAACAATAATAATATAGAGTAAAGGATATAGAGTAAAAGAAGCATTGGACCAAGGGCCCTGTCCTTGTAAGACCTGAAGTTTCAGCTTGCACTAAGCATCAAATCTAAAGTTCATCACTAAAAACCTAAAGTTCTAGCTTGCGCTAAGTGTCGAACCTAAAGTTCATCACTGTTTAGAACAAAAGCTCATTCTACTCTCTATCAGCACGCATACTTTCTAGTTATCCAGTATTTCCTGAGCTTTTTCCTTCTTTGTCGCGTCAAATCCAGAATTAGAATTTGTAATATCTCAAAGATCTTTATGTATAAAACTCAGCACTTCTTTCAAATCCTTTAGTTTTATTTTTGTATGGTAAAAGCCTATTACTTTGAGACACATCCAATCTTCAATTATATTGTCAAGATAAAAATTGAGGCGTATGGTTATGTTTTTGCAGTAGTAGGCTCAAAATAAAAAAATTATTCATCTAAGTCACGGGTCTGTGACTAGTGAAGGGCTCATCTAAAGCGGGAGCAAATTACGTGAATCAATAATAATTGGTTAGAACATACGAATGATGATTAGCCAGAAAATGTAATTAAATAATTCTTATTATCATTATTGGTAGAAAGC